AATGAATTGTATAAGGTGGGAATGATAGGAGGCTAGCCTATATAAAGCCTGGATTTTCCTGGTATTCCTCTCCTTCACATTTTAGCTCTGATTGTTGACTCTGAAAGGTGCTGGTTGCCATGTGTGAGAATTTGCCATGTCAGTGGAGAGGCCAGAGTAGCCAAAGACCGAGGGCTGCAGTCAATTACATGGGTAGGCTTGGAAATGGATCCTTTACTCCTGAAGTAGTGCGATGACTGTGGCCAGCTTTACAATGTCAGTACGTTGCACGAGAGGCCTTGAGCTAAAGCATTCAGCTAAGCCTTGTGCAGATTCCTAACCCACAGAAATTCCTAAGTAAGGGAACCAGCAGTTAGTGTAATGGCTATGTCGCTGGACTCCCACGTAGGCGACCGCAGTTCGCGTCCCGGAGCCGGTGCCTTAAAACTCACGCTGGGCGCATGTGCGTGTGTGCCCAAGATCCCTAGAGGAGAATGGAGGAGAAGGGATCGTGGTATGACCATCCCCCTTGGAGGATGATTTCTCGCTTTCTATCTCTATGTCTCTCTCTTTCTGTCTGGTGAGCGAACGCTCCCTATAGCGAAAAAACCTCTATGAAAAAAAAGAAAGAAAGAAATTGCTAAGTAACAAATGTTATTTAAAGGCCCTAAGTTTTCCTTTTTTTGTGTTTTGAGAGATTTTTGCTATAGGGTGCATGCCAGAGACACACAGAAAGTGAGAAATCATCCTCCAGGGGGATGGCCATGCTGTAATCCCTTCTCCTCCATTCTTCTCTTGGGATATAGGGCATGCAAACATGCCTAGCATGAGTTCCAAGCTGCCAGTCCAGGACTTGAACCACAGTCAACCAGATGGGAGTCCAGCACCTTCACCACTACATGACTTGCTGGCCCCCAGGCCTTAAGTTCTTGGGGAAGCTTACAAAGCAATCGATAACAAAATCAAACAACTGAAATGTAATATTTGGAGTTGGCAGGTGGCATGGTGGTTAAGGTGCTGGTCTCTCACATGGCTAACCATGTTTTGAGTCTTGGACCTGGCATATTGCTCTTTCACTGTCTCTCTCTCTCCTTCCCTAGTCAAATTAAAAAATAACAAATAAAATTAGTTTTTTTAAATAGCGTTTACTTCATAGATATTGTTTGAGTAGTCTAATCATTATTGCATATATATGTGTAGATGTATGTCAATACACGTACATGTATGTAGAAGTAATTCGTGATCTCTGATGACAGTTCAATTTCTCTATGATCCATGCTCTTCATTCTCCAGTTCCTTTCCCTGGATCTAAACACTGTTGCTAAATGTTTCACATGTCCATTTAGAGATAGTCAGTACATATACAGATAGGTTATATGTCTTCAAAAGCCATTCACAAGGACCAGCAGATAGCATAATGGTTATGATGCTGGACTCCCACATAGTTGGTTTCAGTCCTGGACCTTGCTGCTTAAAACTCATGCTATGTGCAACCATGCCCAGAATCCCAAGAGGAGAATGGAGAAGAAATCACCATGTAGATATCCCCAGGGTGTGATTTTTTACTCTGTCTGTCTCTGTTTCTCTGGCTAGTGCATATGCCCTATAACAAAAATATCTCCCTCAAAACAAACAAAAAAAGCCATGTTTATAACTATTATACATGTATACATGTCAGTTTTTAACTTGTTGATGTTTTGGAATCCATATATTAGAGGTGTTTATTGTTTTTAATAACTATATACCATATCTAAGCCAACAAATGAACATGTTGATTTAAAGTACTTTGCTATCACAAACAGTGCTAAAATGAACATCTTGTACCTAGGCCTAGAGGATCACATCTTAACAGTATAATTGGTATGTTAAAAGTTTATTTTGGAATTTTTTATTCATTCATTTTTTATTATAATTATAATTATTATTATTTTAATTTGACAGAGAGAGCGAGAAATTAAGCCACCAGGTCCGGGACTTGAACCATGGTCATCCATGTGGCAATGTCCAACACCTTAACTGCCACACCACCTGCTGGTCCCCTATTTTGGAATATTTAATTCGGATTATTAGTGTCCAACTTTTTTCTATGAACTCTGTTACAGTTTATACTCTCACCAATAATGGAAGGCAGTGCTTTGCTTACTTCCTTCACTTTTATTATGGTGGTTCTTAAATTTTTAGACTTTTGTCAGTCTGAATGGATAAGTAAATAAATAATGTCTTTTGACTTAAATATTTTTGGACCTAATGTTAATTATAAGTGAAATTTAATGTTTCCACAATGTTTAAATGCTTTTGCATTTCCTTTCTTGTGAATTATTTATTTGTGATCTCTGCTCATATTTTTTTTTTAGAGGTTTTTGCTATAGGGTGTGTGCGCTTGCCAGACAGACAGAGACAGAGAGATAGAGAGTGAGAAATCACCCCCCAGGAGGGATGGCCACGCCGCAATCCCTTCTCCTCCATTCTCCTCTCGGGATCTTGGGCACGCACGCACACGCGCCCGGCGTGAGTTTAAGCCACCGGGTCCGGGACGTGAACCGCGGTCGACTACATGGAAGTCCAGCAACATAGCCATTACGCTAACTGCTGGTCCCATCTCTGCTCATATTTTTAAGTTGGATAATTGATGTCAATCTTAGAGATTTGCAGAAGCATTTTATATATAAAGAAATTTGCCTTTTATCTATTACATATGTGCAAATTCTTTCTCCTGATTGGCCATTTTTTAAAAGAATTTTGCCACTGGGCATATGTGCTTGCTAGAAAGAGAAAGAGAGAAGTGGAGACAGAGGGAAAGGGAGAAATCATGCCTTGGGGGGGATTGCCATGTCAGTTACTGCTCCTTCATTCTCCTCTTGGGATTTTCGGCACACACGCACACATCCTCAGGATATTTTTCAAACTGCTGGGTCTGGGACTCAAACTGAGAAGACAGCCATGAGGTATCTAGCGCTCCAACCACCACACCACCTGCTGGCCCATGCTATGTGTTTTTAAAACTTTATGGTCACCTGAACATAGGACACTGAGGAAACTGAATCAGAAATTTGAAGTAGGTAAATAGTCCCAGCCAAAATTGTGGCCACTGGTTGTTGCTGCTCCTCAGCAGCATATGGAAGGCTCAGATTCAACTCCTGCTTTACCTTAAAAGGCTGGGGGATTATTAGCTGTTTTACAGGTGTGATGGTTGAGGTCTCTATATATGTTGGTTATCAATCCCTTGTCTATGGCATAGTTTGCACATATTCTCTTTCATTCTGAGGGTGGTCTCTTTACTGTAATTGTTGTTTCCTTTGTTGTGAAGAAGCTTTTTACCTTGATGTAATCCCACTTGTCTGTCTTTGGGATTACTGCCCTGTGCCTTTTGCATGTGTTGAAAAATCATGTTATGTGCTACAGAGATGTACAGTGGCAGAATCTCAATTTTAAATAGCAAAACAAAAAGTTGGCACTCACCTAGAGTCTTAGCTACTGGAGAGTAAGATGTTGTCCAAAAAAAAAAAAAAAAGAAAAGAAAAAAAGAAAAGATCTTAGAATCTTAGATCACACAGTATTTCTTCAGTACCATGTACTAAGTGTCAGCAAATGGGATATACAGATGAGAGAGGATTGGTTCCTTTTTGTCTATAATATCACTATGTAGGATCTTAGAAAAGGCTCCATGCAAATAAAATGTACAACTTTAAAGAAAAGCCACAACCATGACAAAGAGAAGGGTTCAGTAGAGAGAGGGTGAGGCAGATGGAAGGCAACTGAAAGCACGTAGGCAAATAGAAAACAGGAAAAAATAATAGCAAATTAAGAGTGGCTTATGCTGGCTTTTTCTAGAAGTTTTGAACCATAGACAGAATCCCGAACTTACTAAATACTTTGTTAGTTATGTGGGGGTGTCAGATGTATAAGTGAGACAATTCAGCTCACTAATCAGTTGTTGAATTGACTCCTTCCTGAGTTGGGGGATGATCCTGGCCAAGATGAAAGCAGTATATAATGTACTTGTTTTAGAAGACAAGTGCCCCCCTATCCCACTAGACATCATAATATTCGGCTGAAGTGGTGAATTCAATGAATTAATAACTTTTGCAGCCCTCCAGTATGTGGTCAGAGAGTTATTATGTCTAAAATGTAAAGGAAGATGAGTAACTCTGATCTTGCAGCTCCATTACAAATAGCCACTTCTAAGAAGAAATGTTTTTTGTCACTGTGTTTGAAGGATAACACAGTTGTATTCAGTAAGAATTTACCTAGTGCTCTATGAAGCATAAAGTGAGGAACAGGGAAACATGTCTGTTAAACTTCAAGATAATTCACTGTCATCCAGAGGAATTAATGCCTCAGAAAACATGAAAATTTTAAATACACAAGTAAACTAGTCAGTGAAAAATGGTATAACTTTTGAATAGAAAAAGGAAGAATATGATAGATATGAGAGGTCTGGAAAAATCACCTACTTCTAATTGCATTTCCTTCCTTCTTCAGTTACATGACAAGCAACAATTAAGCAATTATACCAGTTTGTTTTTTAGCATTCATTTTTACATTTAAGACACATGTTTCTGATTCTATCTCTGTGGGCTGGATTGCTCCTCAGAGAGAGAGAAATCTTTACTTGTTTGTCTTGAGAGTCTTTGACACTATAATATCCTATCCAATGAAGTCATAAACTGATCCAGTGAAGGGCTGTATCATACAATTCCATTGAATTATTCAATTAACAAATAATCTGTTGCTCCTCCCTGCCCCCATTTTCTCAGGAAATGATATTTTCATCCATTTAGTTGCATAAGCCAGAAACCTAGAAATAACCCTTGACAACTGTCTCTTACCATCTATATCCACCCCTGTGTGAAACGTTATTTCTCACAAATAATCCTTGCATTTTTCCCCTTCTCTACATGTGCCACATCACACTAGATCAAGCTACCATTGCCTTCTGCTTAGAATTCTCATCTCTTGACATGTATACATGTATGTAATCTGCTCACTTTTTATTTTTTTTTCCTTTTTTGGTCCCCTGAAAGGGGTGTGCCATTCTTGGAAGTACTGTAATACCAGGTCAATGCTTGGAGTGGAGAGAGTTAGCTCCTATTTCATCTCCCTGCTGTAAAAACCCATTTAATATATTTTTCTCAGAAAGAGGACATACCAGGTATTAAGCTAATAAGAGCAGCTACTATACTTGATCTTAGCCAAAAGGCCAAGAAGCGATTCTGCTCACTTTTTACATTCTCCAAACTGTAGTGAGAGTGATCTTCACAAATTTCAAGGTAGGTCTTCTGACACCGCAGTATGTATCAGTGCTTTTATATTTTGTTCTAGAATATGCTTGTTTCTTTATGAGACTTACCAAGTTTATTATTATACTTTGCTTAATGAGATTATTAGCTCATCTCTTATTCATTGAATTATTAAATCCATAAAAATGGGAGATATGTCTATTTTTTGCATATCATTCATTTCCAGAACATATTCTAATGTTTAACGAAAGTATAAATGAATTACTTATAAATGTTGAAGCCCTGTGGTCAGTGATTGAAATGAAAAGGTCTTGCATTTCTTTTCAAGTTATTTGACACCCCATAGTCATTGCCTTCCTTTGATAAATGTATCTCATATTACCATAATAGAATAAACCTTTAACCTCAGCCAAGGTTGTTTCTATAGCAATTTCTGTGCCAAGTAACTGAAACACTTGGAAAAACTTAGAGTTAGGTTAGGAAAAGGGTATGATCAAAAATGACCTCTAGATTTCTGGCTTATGAAATGGGTTAGAAAAATATGTTATTCCCCAAGAAAAGAGGAATATCTTTGAGGAAAAAAAAATTGAATGTGTTTAAGATGATACTAATGAAATAGTCAAGGAAAAGTTATGGTAGAAAGTTGATTTTCTTGTTTTTTAAAGAATTATTTTATTTAACTTTATTTATTATTATTATCATTATTATTTTCCAGTTTGATCAGAGAGACACAGAGAGAGAGAGAGAGGAAGTGAGAAAGCAAGCCACCAGGTTTGAGACTTGAACCATGGTCGGCCATGTGGGAGTCCAGCGCCTTTAACCACCATTGCCACTTGCCGGCCCCAGAAAGTTGATTTTCTGAATGGCAAGTTTAGGAATGAGATCTTGAAAAAATATGTTATCATATTTGGTAGTTATCAGTTTGTGGATAGGAATGAAAATCATGAGAATATATGAGATTTCTCAGGGAGATTAAGAAGAGATGAATAATATCTAGAACTGAACTCAGGAAAGCAAATTTTGAGAGAGCTAGTTTATAATCAGAAGAAATTTAAAACAGGAATTAAACCAGGGTACAGTAATTTTAAATAAATAGATGATTCTGAAAAGAGGAAATTGTTAAAGATTTCAAATGCTGTTGTGAAAAAAAACAATTAGAATAACAATCAAGGGCAATTCAATAATTTAGCAAAGACATGCTGTATATAACTATGTTAAGAGTATGGTGTAGAGAAGTATTGCTTAAAATCAAGGTGGTTGCCATACATTGTGGAAATAATAGAGTTAATAAGGTGGAGAAAGTGTTATTCAGTATGTTAGTATGGTGTTTGTAATAACCTTAAGATGAAGAGAGGAACTCCATCTGTCATCTATTTTGATAAAGAAATATTGCAGCATATGTAAACATTGATGGAAAGAAACCATTAGAAACAGAGTACTGAAAAAAAGGACATGAAATTCAGAGTAGATGAGAAAATTTACCTTAGGATAAGGAGATCTCTTTAATTATAACCAGAGGGAGGCAGGGAAGATGTATATTCACCAAGATAACTGTATGAGCTGGCAGGTGGCATGATGGTTAAGGTGCTAGATTTTACATGGGTGCCTCTGCAGTTTGAGTCACATATCTGGTGACTTTAAAATGATGCTGGGCCAGGAACCAGCAGTTAGCGTAATGGCTATGTCGCTGGACTCCCATGTAGTCGACCGCGGTTCGTGTCCCGGGCCGGTGGCTTAAAAAAACTCACGCCGGGCGCGTGTGTGTGCATGCCCAAGATCCCAAGAGGAGAATGGAGGAGAAGGGATTGCGGCGTGACCATCCCCCCTGGGGGGTGATTTCTCGCTTTCTGTCTCTATGTCTCTCTCTGTCTGTCTGGCGAGCGCACGTGCCCTACAGTGAAAATCTCTCCAAAAAAAAAAAAAAATACAGCTGGGCCTGCCCAGCAGGTAGCATGGTGGTTAAGGGGCTAGACTCCTATATGGCCCACCATGGTCTTGTGGCATGCCATCCCCCTGGGCGATGATTTCTCACTTTCCTTTTCTCTCTGTCATTCTTTATCTCTCTCTGGCAAGTGCACACACTACAAGAGGAAAATCCTAAAAAATAAATAAATAACTACAGGTTTGGTGACTGGAATAACTCCACATCTGATTGGTAGATTATATTTTGTAATAAGTAGGAGGAAAAAATATCTGCTAAAACTATAAAATAAGTGAAAAGATCAGAGTTCTGATAAAAGTGAAGTAGATTGAAAATAGGTTGTAGGAAGTTGGAAAAAATAGTTTATTAGGGAAATATTAAAATATTGATAGAATTTAGGTTTCAATTTAGGTTGGAAACAACTTTATAATACAACTAATCTATAAGGGGACTTCAAAAAGTTTATGAAAATGGAATTAAACTACAAATTTGGTTTGGTGCCAAAATTATTTTTTATTTTGGAGAGGTTTTTGCTATAGGGTGTGGTTTGTGCTCCTCAGAAAGACAGGAAGACAGAGAGACCGAAAGTGAGAAATGAACCCCTGGGGTGATGGCCACACAGCAATTCCTTCTCCTCCATTCTCCTCTTGGGATCTTAGGCATGCACACGTATCCACCCAGCATGAGTTTAAGCCACAGTGTCTGGGACTCAAACTGCAGTGGACTATATCAGAGTCCAGCTATATAGCCATTACGCCATCTGCTGGTCCTGTAAAAAATTTTAAATTCACATTTTTTTTTTCATCAATGCATAAACTTTTTTAAGATTCCTTACGTGGAGTTTTGAAAATTACCCAACATTGTTCAGCAGTTGTGTTTATAAGTACAGAAAAGATGAACTATTTGATTCTCAAAGTTGGAAACAATGGAATTTACAGTCCATTTCAAGGCTGTAGAACACCTGATTTAAGGTTATAAGGAGAGAAGAGTTTATGTGATTAACCATAGCATCTGAAGGATGTTATAAGTGACTCCATAAATGGATTGACAGAAAGGAAGAAATTTGAGGTGTCAACACATTTGAGTTAATAAACTGAAGACAAAAGTTATATTAGCAAGACAAAGAGGAGAATTGTGTCGATCAGGGTAGATGTTTAAATTTAATATTTCAGAGTGGAGTTATTCTGATGTTTTAAAGCTATCAGCTTGGACAATAAGATTAAAGTAAATATGAACGAAGCTTCTGGCAATGTGAATTGCAAGCTGTGCTGTTAACTGTATCGTCTTTATTGGCACTGAAATCACCAACAAGATGGGAGAATTTTCATAGACAGTAAAACAGTGAACCCATGTCAATGTATTCAGGGAACCGGAGTTATTCAATAGGTGACTTTATGATAGACACATGTTTATAATGAATTCTTGTGTTATATAAAATATTAATAAGTAACTTGAAAATATATAATTAAATTTTCTTTTGAATCAGAACAGAAAATGTAATTTATGTGAGGGTATGCAGCCTGGCAGTATGGAGCAGTTATTACATGCCTTGTTAATTACTCACTTGAGCTGGCTGACACATGCCTTAGATTTTGGAGGCTCTGTGGAAATATCTATAGGGCAAGGGAAACATCCTAAACCTGGCTAGGTCATGCGATGCTTATTCTTCATAATGTTTATGGCTTAACATTATCCTCTTTGATGCATACTCAGACAGCCTTCCTCAGAGTTACAGAGGAACAGCATAAGTAATCTGGCTTGACCTATGACACATAAGAGCATGTGTGAACATGCTAGTAACAAGGTCCAAAAACATATAATACACTTAAGTCCTTACCTCTAACTGTAGAACTTCAATCATATCATGAAAGCTTGAAAAACAGTTCACCGTGCTTAGTAAAATGTATAAATAAAGAAGCTCAGCATAACTGAGCAGCACAGCTTGTCTGTGTTCACCTGCATTTCTGCTTCTGTGTCTTCTCCTTTCTCTAATTTTTTCCTTCACAGGACCAAGCCCTGAGGGTGGACACCAACAGACTGGTGCTGAAACCCAGGATCGATTCCCAGAGTTCCTGGATCTTATGACTCATGGGCTTCCCATAACTCTGGTATGCTTGTTATGTGCGTGAGTGGTGAATGAAAGTGTTTGTAGTCCCACAGCTTTGTTTGCTACGGGGTCCAATTGGGTGCTAACCTGTGGGTCCATGGAGTTCTCATATGGCCCAATGGTAAAATCAGATGTTGGGGGTCTTGTACCCTCCCTGCACACCTGATCCAGTGGCAATTACCAGAGCCAAGAATCTCCTTAAAGATCCACCAGGAACACAGCCAGGCAGATGCCCAGTGTCTTCTCTCCCCAGAGAAATCCCCTTTGTTTGTCTTTGCCCAAGTCCTTCACACAGTGAAGTTGACACAACAAGTTCCATCACACCTTGAAGCAGTAAGTAAATGACTGGACGAACTCTCTGTCTTCTTCGGCTTGACTCCAAATTCCTGTACACTATCACTACTTTTGCTTCACTTCAGCTGAGCTCAAAATTCTCAGAAGAATTCTTAGGAAAAAGGAGACATGCTCCCTTTGCATGGAGCAATAAGGAGTTGATTTAAGATTAGAATACTTTGCCTCCCACATGTCTGTAGAGGTCCTTAGCCATTGTTCATTACATGAACTTAATTTTACTTCCAGAGAGATTCGCCAAACAGTTTATATTAGAGAAGACTTTGCCATAGAGCTTGTAAGACTTCTCATAGTTGTTTTATATCAATTGCATTTCAGTTGCCAACTTTCTCCTAAACTACCCAGGACAATTCTCTCTTGCTCTTGGTTTATACATGGAATAGAAGGCAGATCCTTATGGAGAGTTCTATGTAGTTTTCAGTCCATCCCTAAACTGGGAGTTTGGACATTATTTGAAATAGCCTTGAGGCAGCTTTGTTGGTGTTTGATCTCAAAAGTTAAATAAAATAATTGCTTTTTTGAACTGGTGAAGAGATAAGCAGCTAGCATACAGAACGCCATCATATTGAGACCCACGATTGCGTATAGGACTA